TTTGACGAAAATAACTTTTAAAGGTAATATTTTTTTTCATTTTACTGTTCGGCAAACACTCGGCCATATTTTGCCGAAAACCGAACCGAAACCGAACTATTAGGCCGAACTGTTCGGTTACCGAGCCCGAACCCGCACGCTCGGTCGGTAACTAGTTTTTACCCTTTCAGTTACCCTAATTCTTATGTATCCGTCATTGTCTCCATTTTCGTCTTTATCTTCACTTTTGTCTTCTTTTTTTTTACTTCATCGTTATCATTTATTTCTTCATCTTCATATTTATCTTTATTTCAAAGCTTAATTTCAAATGCGAAGTGAAACAACATGCGAAACATGTCAAATTGAACATGTTGCAGCAACATCTATACACAAATACGGAAATGTTTAAACGACGGTTTAGGCCGTAATTTTCAACCAATTTTGAAACCATAATAACTCTGCTCATCTACAGAAAAATGCCTTTCCAATGGTGTTCTTGGTTTGGAAATCGGTTCGGTAGAATCACCAAATGAACGGAGACAAAATTCATGTTAGCGTATTAATATATAGATATCAGCATTGAAGGAGACTTAATGTCATCTATCAATCACCTAAAAATGATTCTAAATCATTTGGTCGGCATTTGATAACTTAAAAAAGCAAGGGCTGACTTCCGTAGAAACATTGGGCGTAGTTTTATTTCCGTACGAATCGAAAATCATGAAATTTTCCTGTCATTTTCTATACAAAAATTTCACATTTTCGATTCGTACGAAAGCTATAATACACCTCATTGATTTTTATTTTTTTTTTGAAATAGCAAGATCTATCAAATATAAATTTGTATCTATCATATACCTTGTTTATACCTACGCAAGAACCACATTAACAAAAAAATGATTTGACTCAACACATACTTCTTTCAAACATTTATACCTGCTCTATAACGAGCACTTGCTGAAACCGTATTCAAAAGTAAACAAAATTTGTTATTTTTAATAATAATTCAAATTTAAAACGGGCTGTATAAATAAAATCAGCCTTTTTTCTCTTCGCGTCAAATGAGTGATGTGTTTATACCCCAAAACCCACCCCTTGTGTGCGCTAATGTGTGTTGGTATAATTAAGGTAATAGACCTACAAACGATTGTGATATTCTAGAAAAAATATGTTTCAATAAAATAGTAGAAAAATGTTAACTCGGTACACTTGAGTCATACCTTGTTTATACCTACGAAAAAACCGCATTAACAAAAAGTCGATTTGATTCAACACATATTTCTTTCAAGCGTTTATACCGGTGTCATTTTAGCGCTCTCACTGAAACCGCATTCAAAAGTAAACTAAACTTGTTATTTTTATTCGATATTTCTTTAATAATTAACTTGCGCGGAACTTGCCGAAATGGAAGCGAACAAGAATTTAAATTTGTTGTAATAATGATTCAAACTTAAAAGGGGCTGTATAAAGAAAACCGGCCATTTTTCACTTCGCGTCAAATTAATGATGTGTTTATACCTGTTTTCTGTGAGCAATAAAAAAGCAATTTGAAAACAAATTCGAGTCAATACACTTTTGAATTTCTTAGCGTGTTGAAAGTTGGTTTATGCCTCCGTTTTGAATCACAGCGAACTGGGTCAAAGCGCTTTATATGTCGGTATAAACAAGGTATCAATTTTAGTATTTACAATGCATTTCTCCAAAACGGTTTTGAATCACTTATTTTTATTATGAGCATTGAAGGAGACTGGAAGTCATCTATCAATGACCTACAATCGATTCTGCATCATTTAGTCCGCATTTGAAAGCTCCTGTTTTGTTCTTATTTCATGTAAGTTAGCTTAAGTGCAAATTCAATAATAACAGTAATATTTTGGAGCTTACATTTTTTCTAAGTGTTTGCCTGAGCTTTTCCTCCAATTTGTGGTGCGCGTCCTGAAGATATAACACAAACGGAGGAACCTACAATTTTACTCCACCTCCGAACGGCAAATGGATTTTATGAGACGGCTTTTCAAAACAGAAATGCCATTGCTTGCCGAAGGGCGAACGCTGTTAAAAAAAAAAAACTTTTCTAATTCAGATGTTGCTTGGACCAGGGATTGAACCCAGGTCCTACGAAGTGGTAGTACACACCTCTAACCACTCGGCCACAGCGAGCGTACAAGTATACATGCATATAAGTAAATTGTGAAATATGATTTAGATGATGATTTAACGTACCCGAATTGTTTTGTCTCGAGATCCAGATGCTAAAAATGGTCCTTGATGATGCCCTTTTTTGTTGTCAACGCCTGTGCCCTCATTTATTGCAATGATTGAAGAGTCTGGCGCCCATGCTATGCATTCTACTGTGTGATCGTGGTCACGAAGTTCAACCTTTAAGATTACCACAAAAATAATAATAATTAATATTTGAAAATCATCATCATTTTTAACACAATATGGTTTAACTCTTGTTCCACAGCTAACTTTCAATTTGTGCACTTTAAATCTAAAGTCAAGAGCAGAATGTGAAAACGGACCTAAATATTGTTTGACTGAATACGTTGCAACATTGTTAAAATTCTGATGTACCATGGCTTCTATCGAGTGAGATTATGTTCTAATTGAGGAAAAACTGAACGTATTTACCCCAAGGCGTACCAGTTGGTTAAGATATAAAAATACATACATACATAAGAGCACATATCAATATTAAGTCGTCCGTAAAAAGTAAAGCAGCCATTGCATGTGGCGGTTTCATACAATGAGAAAAAACGTAAGTTTCGACAACTAAATATATTTAGTGTAGTTTATTATTCTGGCAATATTTGAACTATTGCCAGGGTTTGGTTATTATTACTAAATACAATAAAGCTTGTGGTATTCATCTGGGTTGAACTAAATCGTTACTTTAGGTGTAGAGTTTGGTAAATACCAGGGACGTGAACCGGTTTTGGACCGAACCGGTTTTTTTATATAAACTAACTGAACCATTACCCGAAATTTTCCACAAATGTTGGATCCGAACCGAAAACTGAACCAATTTTCATAAAGGTTTAAAGGTTCGTTTCAACCAAAAGTTTGTTTACCATGTGCCAATATCAAATGTAATGGCAACCTATCTCATTTGACAGACACATGCCATTTATCCTTGCGCGTTGTTGCACTTGACACTTGACGCTTAAATTTTTTAATTAATTAATTAATCCCAACGGTTTTGACCCTCCTTTCCCGCCCAACCGTCCCGAGGGGCGTAGTCCGCATGACGTTCGGAACTTTTTCTTTTTATTTATTTTTTCTTTTGGTGCCGAGTTGTGGAAACAGGAGTTTAAGTGCCGAGATCTAAAACTATTCAGCTACAGAAACAAATTCATCAGCTGATTGGATATGCTTAAGTAAGTATTTCAATTATTGATTCAATTACACCAACGTTGCTTAGATCCGCTTGTAACAAAGACGATACGCGTTATTTTTTTTATTTCCGAACCGTTGAACCGAACCGAAACCCCGGTTCAAAGAGCAAAAAAACCGCTTTGACGAACCAATCCAAAAGCGTAAAAATGGTTCGAACCGCTGAACCAAACCGTCCAAATATTTCGCCCGGTTCACGCCCCTGGTAAATACTAATGAATATTGCTTTGAAGCCTATTTCGACTTAACCTATGGTTCATAAAAGGGTGTTATTAAGCTCTGCTAATGCAGAAAGCTTTCTCTCCACACATGGTGTAGTCATAGTTACCAAATTTTAGTTGAGGCAACCGTGATTTGTTTTGAGAGCGGTGCGAAATCGCGGTACGGTGACGAACTCGGCCTAATAATGCCATGAGCCAGCAAGTCATTTATGATATTCGATAACGTCGGACGTTGATAAAACGGGACTTGATACTGCCTACCAATCACTGGTTTATCAGTGGTGAAGATGATTTCCCGTCAGACAAGTCCTCCGTAAGACAGCTTGTGTATGTCTGCAAAAAACCTTTAACATTTCGGGAATCTGCTACGTTCAATGCTTCGTTGACAACAAATGTTGCATCGCTTCGATGGTGTACCTACATGACGCCAGCCTCGATGGTTAACCTGCAACTTTCTATGCGTAATACATCCTAACCAATTACTACATCATATGGCATAAATGTATCTGGTGTAGTGTATCAGAAATGCATATCTACATAACAAAGTTCCACAGGCGCCAAAAGTGCATTAAACTTATTTTGTAGCTAATGTAAACAAATTGTGGCTCACACAAAATATTATTGAATGCTTGATTTCTGTTAACATCGCTTTTCTATAAGCACAAGCATGTATCAGAGGTGGGCAAGGACTAGACCGAAAAGAACCACATGTAAATTCTAAGTGCTACAAAGAGCCACAAGAAAAACAAAAACAAAATTATTTTTAAATAAAATTATTATTAGAAATGAAAAACATTAATTGTATTATTATTCTAATGTACGTAAGATAGATATTAAAGAAAACGTATAGAATCTTTTACGTACGCCGAATTTGCAAAATCTGGTTTTACGTCAGTTAGAGCGGTTCGTAACAGAAACGCTAAATTCCTGCGGAATGTCATCTGTTCCCTCGCAAGAGAAAAATATCCAAAACAATTGCGAACAGAAAATTTTTATAGAAATAGATAGAAATTTTGTTTACATTTAAAAGTATAAGACTGAAAACATAAGAAAACAAATCCCGAAGTCTTATCCTGACACAGTTCACTGACTAAACGAATAATTACTTGCTGCTTACAAGTATAATTAGTCGCACTTTACTATTTTAATTTCCAAACCATCAAATTCAATTTAGGGATTTGCGTAAATTCCAGCTGTTTTTGATCACCTGTTTTCTTAATGGCAAATTGCTGTTGGCAAACATTTTTCCAGCAGAAACTAACAGCTTTCCCTCAAAATGAAATGTCATTTTGCTCTCTCAATTTCCCTACTTTGCAAGTTTTTTGCGTACGCGAACACAAAAAGCTGATAGTTTTTATAACGTTCAATTCAACTAATTGTGAACGGTATTTTGACTACGAATTTCATTGTAGATTACAAAGACTCACAGTTATACGTTGTACCAAAAATTTAAAATTTACGGCACGCAGCTGTTTTCAACAGCGGATATTTTAAATCTGATACTTCTTGTCCGAATTCAACTAATGGCACAGCTTTTATGTTGCCTTATCTTCTTTTAGTTCCAAAAACTCCAACTCTACTTCGCTTTTCTTAAAAAGTAGTATTTCAGATATTGTAAATTCATCCTCAATTATGGTACATAAAAAATGGTTTATGAAGTATGCATACGTACATTTAAATAATTTCAAATCGGCAGATCTTTTTTCAAAATCAGCTTTTAAATCATGTGCAATATTTTTCTCTACCCATGGAAAATTATGAAATATTCCTTTTTTTTTTTTGAGATCATAAATAAAAAGACGTAGTTTAGCTTCAAAACTTTAATTCTTCTTGTACAAAAAACTCAAGTTTTGCAAATGTTCCATCATATAGGTAAAGAATATGAAGTCAGAAAGCCAATCTTCTTTCTCCAATTGCGGGTAATGCTCCGATCTCTATAAAATAAAAAAACAACACAATTCAAAAGAATGTCCAGCAGAGAAATACGTATTTTAAAAAGTAAAAAGAGCCAAAATTTTCTAAGCAAAGAAAAAGTAATAAGAGCCGCAGTTTGCTAAGCAAAGAGCCGCATTTGGCTCAAAGAGCTGCGTTTGCCCACCGTTGGCATATATATTTCTGTAAGCTAAGCCAATACACACATGTATGTGTATTAGGGTGGTCCAAAAACAGTAAAGTCGGAATTGTATTGCTCACACCCCCTAGGATTGTTATAAATTCTAAATTCAGTATTAATAACGCAAACATCAAGCTGTGAGGTTGTACTTATTTTGTGCTCTGATTTTGGCTTTCTATTTGCTAAGTTTATTGCGCTAATTCTGAGTTAAACTTGTGATAAAAAGTGCCTATGAGCATCTTAGTGTGAAATAAATGAAGCTAAATGAAAGTTGATGAAGATGAAGAGATGTCGTGATCTCCGAAATAGCTGCTATAACATCTACCGCTTTGACTTTGTTGCTTTTTCAATTTTTCCTAATAAACAATCGTGGTACAAAGCTCAATAAAAGTATTAAAAAATAGAAAGTTATTCCGTTTTATATTAAACTAAATTTAATTAGATTTCACTAGCATACATTCTAAACTTGCCGAGTCATTTGTTGCTATCATTGTTGTTGTATCCATTGTAGTTAACTGAAATCGTTTTGTTTTTGCACATTTGATCTGTTCCTTTTGTTTACTTCTTCTAGTAATTCTTGTCACAGCTGTTTGCGTTGCGTTTACTAAGTGTCATAATTACAGTGATACTCAAACTGTTCGCTACATTTATTTAAAGCTATTTACATCCGCTCCTTAATTGTTGTAATTTATTTTGTTTGTCTTTTTATTAACAAGTGCTATTAAATCTTTCAATATGAAGTGCGAGCTTGATACTTGCCAAATTAAAAGCGATTCTGAACGCTACTTATCGTGCTGGCATTGTGATGGTATTTGTTATCTGAAATGTGTTGGTTTGACAGGAAGAATTATCGACGCTATTAATGATGACAAGCGTCTTGCGTAAAGTGTAGGTCAACCAAAGTTGATATTTTCAAGTTATTTACGCAAACCAGAAATGGTTTTACAGCAATAGGAAGAGAATTTTCAGTACTGACAGAACAATTTAAGCATTATAAAAATGTGTTTAAATCATTCAAATGCTTAGATACCTTGCAATCTGTTAAGGATATCCCTGTGTCTAAACGTAAGCGTCTTCATAGTCCATCTAAGGAAATTATTACCGTTCCACGTTAGAATAATCTTCCGACTGACTTAATTAATCTATCTTCTCCATGTCCTCCAGCATCAGAATCCTCAGCCTCAAAAGAGCGTGTAATGAAATCTGCTTCGAACAATAACGAGCCTGAAGTATCTTCCCTTTGCCCCATTAAAGTGGTGGCATCGTCTTCAAAGCCTCCACCGCCTTCCCTATCCTCTACTTCTTCTTCTTATTTGGCGCCAGTCGTTTCACTTCTGTGGCACCTGACGCCAATTGGAAACGCCAAGTGAAGCCAGGTCCTTCTCCACCTGATCTTTCCATCGCAGTGGGGGCCTCCCTCTTCCTGGCGCAAGCCATCGGAGCCGCTGTATTTTAATTCGCTGCATTATGCCCATGTCGTTGTAAAGCTCATACAGCTCATCGTTCCATCGTCTGCGGTACTCGCCGTCGCCAACGCGTAAAGGCCCGTAAATCTTCCGCAAAATCTTTCTCTCGAATACTCCAAGAGGCCACCTCATCGGATGTTGTCATTTTCCATGTTTCTGTGCCATATACCAGCACGGGCATGATGAGTGAATTATAGAGCGTGGTTTTCGTACGTCGAGAGAGGACTTTACTCCTGAATTGCCTACTCAGTCCAAAGTAGCACTTGTTGGCAAGAGTGATTCTGAGTTGGATTTCGATGCTGACATTATTATCAATGTTAATGCTGGTTCCCAAGTAAACGAAATTCTCTACTTTCTCGAAATTATAACTGTCAATAGTGACGTGGGTGCCAAGGCGTGAATGTGCTGACTGTTTGTTTGTTCACAGGAGATACTTCGTCTTGTCCTCGTTTACCATCAG